AATTTGGCATTTAAATTAGAAAGATCATATCATAGGAAACATGTGTACTAAGTTTCAAGTTGATTGGATTTCAACTTCATCAAAAACTACCTTGACGAAAAACTTTAACCTGAAGAGGACAGACGGACGAACGGACAGACGAACGAACGGACGCACAGACCAGAAAACATAATGCTCTTACTGCCATCGAAGGTGGGGCATAAAAATCAAAAGATAAATTACTTCCTCCTTTACATTGCTCAGAAGGATAATCTGATCAACAAAGTCATATTTAAAGTTATTATCATACAAAAAACAAAAACCAAAAGGCAATTTGATATTTTTATTCTTAATTGTCAGAAGCTTTTAAATGACAAAACCAACTTCTGTTTTGTCAAGTACAATAATAATACAATTCAAAAAAATGTTAACAAAAATATACACCAAAAGAATCTGACTATTCAACGAGCTTCAAGTTAATCATCACAGTATATAGAGCTGTCTACCATAGACACAACAGCTAAAGTATATGTTTTTTATCTTTTAAAATATGAGGTCAATGTGCCATTTACTTTACATAACCTGTTGTAGGCGTGTTTGATTTGTCAGTATTTGTCCTTTCTTAGTGCTATTTACATGTGCATTATTGTAATGCAAGTAATATAAGTGTAGTTTACACTGATTTGAATATTTAAAAGCATGTCATTGTAATAATCATGAAATATTTTCAGCCCATATTTTTTTTGGCGATAAAAGATGGAGGGTTTTCTATCAATGTGGATTTGAGGCATAATAACAAATAAATAAGCTTCAGAGTAGGAACGGTACAAAACAAATAGACCATGGTTCGGAGTAGTAATCACCGTGAAATTTTGACATTTTGACCTCCTCTCTCTATTATATGCCGTCTTATATATTTTTGTTCAAATAAGGGGGTCATCCTGGTGGTAGTCCAAGCTTGTAATTCCCCCCCCCCCCCGCCCCTTTGTGCGCCTGTACTAAATCAGACTACATATACCATGTGTTGTTCTATGTTGTATGTTTTTATCGGGTATGTAATTAAGTACTGCCTATGATTGCTTACAACCACTTCGTTTGAACTTTGGTGGATAGTTGTCTCATTATCAATCATACCACATCTCCTTATTTTTATATAAGTAAGTAAGTAAAATCTATTCTATCACATAATTTCTACTTACCATGAGCAACATGGCGGGTAACACTAGAGGAGCAGGATCTATTAACCCTTCCAGAACACCTGATATTACACCCAGTTTTTGGAGCTATTCATGTTGCTCAGTTATAGTGTTTTCTGGAGTTTACGTTTTGAGACATGGCCTTGTCAGTGTATTTTCGACTTATAATTTTGAATTTCCTCTTGGTAATTTCCGCCACTTTTTTAATTAATGTAACTTGTATCTCTTTTTTTTCTGTCTCATCTGGGCGGTTTTTATTTTTATATAAAAGACTATTTAATAATTTATTAAAATCTTAATCTTCATTTGCCATGATTCATGTAAAGAGATTTTTATTCATATTTCTCAGGTTTGGAAACTTCTGAAATAAATTAACAAGAATTATAATCTTGGTGAATGATAAAGATGGCAATCTAAAACAAATTCTGTTTATAGTTATGCGACCAATGCTGACATAGACCATAGGGACTTGACTCGAGGTCAGATATATAGCCCGTTAATCGTCTACGTGCATAAAAAAACACAGGTTTGGGATAGTAGGGGCATACGTTTTTTTTTAAATGCACGTAGACGATAAACGGGCTATATATCTGACCTATAGTCAAGTCCCTATGATTTAGTTTGCCTTCAATTTCTCCCAGTTTCTATCCTCAAACTGCAATGACTCTAAAACCTAAATTAATTCTAAATTGGAATGTTCAAAATTGAAAGTAAATTTGGGCATAGATTGTTTTATTTGCATAGTTAACATTCACTAGCCAGTTATCTACCTTTTTATCGATCAACTGAAAGGTAGATGGTCATTAACTAAGTATGTATAAATGTAGTACTGTGTAGTACTGTGTATATATAATTACTGTTTGGTGACAAAGTGTAAAAAATAGTTCATCTAAGCATTAGTGTGAGTAACATGAAAAAAATACTTTAAAAAAGACCAGCTAGAGACGTAAATAGAACGAGACAGAAAATCAGCAGGTAAATCCGTTCATATCATACTTCCTTGTACGCTACGTTAAATCAAAGTACTGTTGTACTATTTACTCGGATGATCACAAGAACAAGATCGGATTCCTGACGAATAAAGGATTTTCATTTCACCGTAGAACTGGTATTTGTTGTCATATGTTCAGTTTCTTTCAATGCATATTTGGTCGATAAGAATCAAACATTTGTTCAATTTGATAAGTTCTATCGTATTGACAGAGAGCCGACAAGAACCACTAAAAATGAGGAGTTCCTGAGCAGAGTGAAAGATTTTGCAGAACCTGTGTACATGGAAAACCACAAGTATTATTCCAATGGGTCTTCAACGTGGAAATGTGTGTGGTACATTCCGAACATAAAGTATACCCCGATCAGATGTGACTGTTTATCAAAGCAGTTCAATAGATGCCATCCCATCTTTGAAGTGAAATTACGTCCAGACTAGAGAAGTGCAGATGACCGTATTTTATATTCAATTCATCCTTGTTATTGTCTACAGTACTGTGTGGATATCCGTGCACCAAGAACCAACAAATGAAACTAATTGGTTCCCTTAAAAACCATAACGTAGGTCTTTCATACTTCAAAATTGTCCTGTAAAATTATTTGCATACTTCTGAATATTTGTCATATTAAGAGAGACCTCAATTACTTCTTAAATCGTTACATTCCCCGAAAGCCTCATAATGCTATTTGTCTTTGGTCTGAATGTGGACTGGGGAGGGAATTCATTTCGGCAATCTGGTCAAACCAGTAGCGATTCAAAAAACTTGTGATAAAGGAAACGTGTTGTTAAATGTGAGAAAAGCTGTAAAACAAAAAGTCATCAAAGTACAAAGTGATATAATATAGCATACTTACAATACTACAAGACTTGAATTCCACATTATTAACAAATTGCAATTTGGTCAGGTACATGTAATTGAAAGAACTGCAATATTTGGGTCAGAATATTGAATGAACTGCAATAGGTAGAAAGAAACACTTATAGTCAAGTCATGGACATTCTACAAAAAGTGACATCTTAACTGATTTGTGGACAGATGTATTATTGGTATCTGATGTAGTAATGACCAGTAATTAAATATTCTTTCTTGTCTTTTCAAGGAAATGGCAAAATCCCTAGATATGTTTTGTGGAACCTGTGACAGAAGAAGTAGATCCACCAAAGCTGTAAAATACTGTACAGACTGCGAGGACGGGTTCTGTTCAGAATGTTTAGATTTTCACGGAAGCATGAAAGTGTCCATGTCCCATCATGTAATAGATATAAATGCAGTTGACGGAATAGGATTCAACATAAGTAAGTTCTGCAAAGTTCATCCCGATATGGTTTTAGAATATTTTTGCTCCGATCATGATACACTGTGTTGTCGGTCTTGTATGGCTAGTGACCATCGATCATGTGACAAGATACTTCCAATTGAAGTTGCTGCGAAAGGTGTCAAAAGTTCAACAATGTATGAAGAAATTGTCACTGATGTCCGCACGCTAATTTCCACTGTAATGGAGCTTGGAGACAAAAAGGAGAAAAGTGTATCCACTCTTGATGATAGCAAGGTGACTGTACAACAAGAGGTGCAGTATATTCAAAAGAGGTTACAGACACGAATTCAAGAAATCGGAGTGGCTTTAATGTGTAAAGTAGACAAAGTTCATACTGAACAATCAGATAAAGCAAAAGTTGACCTGAAAAAGATATGTGATCGCAGAAAACAGATACAAAATATTTCTAAGCAGTTTGAATCTGTGTCCAAACACGGATCTGAAAGTCAAATATTCATGTTGATAAATAATATCAAAGAAGAATTGAATGGTCATGTCAATGAATATTTCCAAAATTCCTGTCGTCCCAAAAAGCTGCATCTCTTTTGTATAAGCAGTCCGATTTGCTGTCCGTTATGAAATCATTTGGTTCAGTGGAAATCAAAGAGACTTCCTTAGATATCAAATATAAACCATTTAAGGTCCAGCTAGCGCAATTCCTGTAACAACAGAGAAAGCTTCCAACCAAATTCCAGCTAATTACAAAATTTGCGGTACCTTGTGCAGACATTGTCGGCATAGGTGTGACAAAAAACAAAAGATTATTCCTGTGTAATCAGAGCGGTTCTAAGTTATTTGTTATTTCAGACGAAGGCCAACAATTGACGAAAATTCAAATGAACGGGTGTCAATGTGGGATAGCTATTGAAGAAGACAAAAATACAGCATGGGTCACAGTTCCTGATACATCATGCGTTCAGACAGTAGATATCATTAAAATGGAAAAGGGCCGACAGATAAAAGTACCTGGAAAATGTTATGGCATTGTACTTTTTGGCGACGAAATTGCTGTCAGTGGTGACGGCAAGATATACATTATCAGCAAACTTGGTGACCTTAAGAAGACACTTGATGTCGAAGGAGGTGATATACACTCTATATCAGTTGGACTAAATCATCAACTTCATTTTGCGCAGGCGGATATAGCAGAATCAAAATTTAAATGCGTGAGATTAGATGATGGAACAGTTACATCTATTTCTTCTCAATATCTAATCGCACGATCGATATAAAAGCAGACAAATTAGGAAATGTATACGTACTGGAAAGGACATCAAACTTTAAGCTGTTTTGTATTGAAACTCTTAAAACCATGTTGACAACAGAAGATGGGTTGACTGAACCATATGGCTTTGCTTTCAGTACTAATTTTTACAAGCTTTTCATTTCAAATTATGTTGAACACTTAAATAGCGAGATATTGGTCTATCATTGTAATTAAAAAATTGAGCAAGAAAGTCCTGTTTGCTGAATATGAATCAAAACGGCCTTAACATGTATAAATCAACGTGTCAGGTATAGACAATTGTAATTCTGTTATCTATGATTTATCATTGTAAGATGAACAAACAACCATTTTTCTTTATGTAAATTTGATTTTTTGAAATTGTATAAAATGATCAGTGAAGACGTAGTGGTCATTATATTTAAAATTCTATATCAATTCTCTTTAATTTGATTAGATCAAAGAGTTCTTTGTTTAAAAATTGTGGTTTTTAAATAGAAAATAGAGAAATTCGAAATAAACTGGTTGTGATCTAAGTATGGGAAACAGCAGTTTGTTTATTAGTTGACGTTTGGCTCTAAACTAGTTTTCAGTGTACTCTTAATAACACATGTGGCGAAGTAAAAGCTGATGATTTACTCTGCAATAACGTATTTATGGAAACTGACTATTAGAGCATTTGCATTATTCTATATCTTGATACGTGCACGGATCGAAGTCCACGTATCGGGCGGATTTGTATAAAATAATGATTTAGCCCAGACCTCTATTAAAATTAAATTAAAATCAAATGCATTATAAAATATATCCATCGGGACCAACTCGACTTAATTTATCCTTTCCTCATATAAGTTTGATACGATACGTCGATACGGATACGCCAGCAAATACGTGAATAATGCAAATACTCTTATCAAGAGCAAACAAAGAAATGATAAACGTATCAAAATATACATGCAATTACTTGACGTTCATACTGATATGAAACCATGCTGTCGGTCACTCTGATAAACAGCAACGACATTAACAGTACAGAAAGACAGGATCGTGTACAGTTCTAAGGAACAAACTGTTCAGAACTTAAATGCAAACAAAAGAAATATTTTTGTTGTTGCTACAAACTATAGTTTATACTTGGTTTTTATCCAAAGATATATCTATTAGCAGAAATAATCAAACAATAACAAATATATCTTTTGTCAAAAAATCTGGTATAAAATTTTAAAAAGTATGCTTAAATAACAAATATACCGTACTCTAAGGAAAATTCATAACGAAAAACCCTTTATCAAATGGCAAAATCAAAAGTTCAAACAAATTAAACGAATGGAAAAACAACTGTCATATTCCGAACTTGGAACAGGTGTTTTTTTATGTAAAAAACCGTGGGTTAAATCTGGTTTTCTAGCTAGCTAAACATCCCATTTGTTTAACAGTCGCATAGAATTCCATTATATTGACTACAATGTGTTACCAAAACAAGCAGACATACATATAGATTGAATTAGGTAAAAATGTCGAAAATTGGGGTACATCAGTCAACATTATGTTGTAATGTTAATCACTAGAAAAACAAATAAATATTTCAATAATGAAAACGATATTGCATAAAGACACTCTACAGAAAAAGTAAAAATGAAAGACAAGAATAAATAAAAAGACCTTAGCACAATAACACAATGGCGGGATGAATAAATGCCGAGCCACATCAAAAGAAGTAGATTTAATTTACTCTAAATGGACAAAACAGTAAAGTTTAAATATATACAAAGACATTTGTACAAACACCTATTACGTTATGTACAAACACCTATTACGTTAATGACAAACGCCTATTACGTTATGTGCAAACACCTATTACGTTCTGGTAAACGCTTTTTTGACACAGATTAAAACAAAACGCATCAATGATATAGAAAATAAAGAAAATCACAAGTTTTAGCTCTCTTAAAAGCTGTGGACTGCTTCGATCTTTCCTTATTTAAGGTAAAAGGTGTGCATGGGGTTGTTGATAAAGTATTGGAAATATGGTGTATTTAGATATTGATTGATTTAAAAATGCGATAAATATTTAGTTTCAGGGAAAATGATGTTGTTCTACTTTAACAGTGTGCGTTATACACCCATGCTTTTAAAATTTTGTTCACTTTCCTTGTTGAAAATTAAAACTTTTTCAAATATACAGCCACGACTCTGGAGATGTGCCTAGACTGGCAAAAAGTTATGAAATATATATGCAACACTCAGGACCGTGTCCTTCCACCCAAACGTGTCCGATACCGCCAAACGTGTCCACATGACGTTACTGAATTGCAAAACATGTCCTAATGTAAAAGTGCACCAAAGCTTGTCATTTGTATAAACGCCTAAACGTGTCCAGTTTTTTTGATTAATTATACCTTATATGAGAATGCCGGATTTTGATTGGTTGGTAGCCAGTGTTTTTTTTTCGCATATTCTAACCTTTTTCTCGTTTCAATCGAATTTGCATGTTTTTCACCACTGCCGGTGAATTTGTCTCAAATTCCCCTCTATGCCGTTGTATTTGCCATTTTGGATATTCCTTTTATGCCCTCATGAGCCTCTTCCCGCCAAAATTATTAGAATATGACGTTACATAAAGACAGTGCTAACGCGTATAAGTACATGTATAATTCCTGCGGTATAAACATGTTGATGGATTACAGATTATTAGTAAAAAAATATTCCCCTTCACCAGTACAGAGAGTTTCAATCAAAATCTATTCGATGTAATTAAACAGATATATCATGTTAAGGAGGGGTATTTGCGAAAAATACCAGTCTTGGGACCAAATTTCCCTCGCCTAATGGCTCGGGAAATTTCACAGTCCCTTGACTAGTATTTTTCGCAAATACCCCTCCATATCATAATATACCTGTTCAAAACACCCAAACGTGCCCAATCCCCCCAACGTGTCCATATCATGCTTAATTTTGTTTCTTTTACTGGAACTATCATTCGTGCCCATATTATCAATACGTAGGTTATTTGTTTATTGCTTTTTTATTATCGTATACTCATTTTACAATTTCAATAATTACTTTGGGCCTTTTTTAACCGATAGTATAACCTGGGTAAAAGTGGGGGCGTCATTTCGGCTACGTTAGATGTAAGTGTAAGCGTGTAGGGAACATGCCCCTTTCTCTGTGCATTAAAACCTTTGTAGCAATTTACTCTTTCATGGTGCCATCAGTTGTATTTGAGAAGGCAAATTTGTTTTTTTAATTTCCGCAACTTGTATTTAAAACGGCCTCGGGTTGCAGTCATGCATAAAATAAAAATAATATAAATACTTTATTTAAAGAGGGTAAACTTAGTTAGTACAATACTAATCTCCCCTGATGCCCTCTGAATAACTCAAAATATAACAATAATGTAATATATAAATATACATACATACATACAGCTTTTTATGCAAAACAAATGGAGAAAAACACACAGAATCGTTTCATGAACATATTTTGAATGATTTTCAAGACAGATATTTGGATTTTTTAGAATATAGATAAATTTCATAATAATTACATTTTCAGTTTAGAAACAATATATTATAAAACCTTTGTTTGAACTGTTCTATCTTTTCTATCTTTTTGATTTCTACAGGAATACAGTTTTGTTTCAAAGAACAGTACCAGAATATTGAAATGTCTTTTTCATAGAATTTGTTATCGGACGTGATATGAAAAGACAATTATTGTCCGATGAACGCAAAGAATATCTTGCATTAACATTTTGGTTATTGTTCAATAATTGACAAAGATAATCAGGTGCAATACTATTTACACACTTATACATTAAATAAATACTCTTTTGTGATATATGATTCTTTTTTGAAAAGTTAACCATCCTAATTGTTTGAATAAAGATTTTGACGGTGTGTCATATGCTTTGTTAAGAATGATTCTGGCTGCCCTTTTTTGTAATTCTAACATTTTTTTCATATTTAGATTACTTGTTTCTGACCATATTGTACAGCAACAATCAAAGAGAGGAAGTACATATCCATTATAAAATAAACATAAACCTTTTTGCGAAATATAATGCTTCAACCGATTTAGTAAACCTAGTCTAGTTGAAATTACAATACATACTTTGTTTATTTGTTGATTTCATGAAAGACAATCATCGATTATGATGTCAAGTAATTTTTCACTGTTAACATTTTGTAAAAGAATTCAACTGTATTCTATCTTCAATGTTTCTTGTATGCTTTGAAGCTTCCTATGTGAACCAACTAACATAGATTTGGATTTTTTAATATTAAGAATCATATCATTATTTTCACACCATATTTTAAAAGTTGCTATTTCGTCATTAAGTTTATCACATATATCATCAACGGAATTTGAAGAGTATTGAAGAGTTGTGTCGTCAGCATACAAATCAGGCTTTGTATGATTTAGTTGTAGTGGGAGATCATTAATATATAAAAGAAATAATAAAGGTCCTAGAATACTGCCCTGCGGTACACCAAATGTTACTTTCCTGAAGATATGTTGTTATTTATTTTTACTTTTTGAGACCTGTTTGATATATATGATTTGAATCATTCAGAAGAAAGAGAATCTCACTAACTAATTCAAAATTTGGTGACTATGTTGAACGCATCTATCCCATCGAACTAGAGATAAAGGATACAACAGATACAGTTAAGTCGGCCTCATATCTTGACTTACATAAACAAATTGACAATAAGAGTCGGTTGAAAACAAAACTTTACGACAAAAGAGATGATTTCAGCTTCCCAATTGTGAACTTTCCTTTTCTAAGTAGCAACATTTCAGCAGCGCCTGCATACGGAGCATATATCTCCCAATTGATACGATATTCCCGTGCTTATATTTCCTATCATGATTTCCTTGATAGAGGGTTGCTGCTCTCAAGGAAGCTATTAAACAAAGAGTTCCAAATGGTGAAGTTGAAATCATCCGTTCGTAAATTTTACGGACGCCATCACGAGTTGGTTGACCGTTATGGAATAACCGATGCACAGATGATATCGGATATGTTCCTTACGTCGTAACTACAATTCCCTTTTCATGAATGTGACCTACCAAATTAGTCTATTTACCGGGTTTGTAATAACATGAGCAACACGACGGGTGCCACATGTGGAGCAGGATCTGCTTACCCTTCCGGAGCTCCTGAGATCATCCCCAGTTTTAGGTGGGGTTCGTGTTGCTTAGTCTTTAGTTTTCTATGTTGTGTCATGTGTACTATTATTTGTCTGTTGGTCTTTTTCATTTTTAGCCATGGCGTTGTCAGTTTATTTTCGATCTATGAGTTTGACTGTACCTCTGGTATCTTTCGCCCCTCTTTTATTGATGTCATTTAGGACATACATGTATTAGCGCTAAAAGATGTGAAACGTTCTGGTGTTTAACCTTTTCTCTGCCATACGGCCTATCCGGCCTATTAAAAAACACTACCTTTGAGTGCCACCGTGAGGCCCAAAGGCCAACGGAATTGTGACGTAACGTAATAGTAAACAATACGTCATAAAGCTAGAGTTCGGGATCTGGAA